CACAGTAAAAATGGAAAAAAAAAACAAAAAACAAACAAACAGAAAACATGTTTCTCTGTGCACTCTGCTTCCTTCTTTTTCTTCGCGCCTTTCGCTGTTTTTTATTTTTTATTATTTTTTATTATTATTATTATTATTAATATGTTTTTTTTTTCTGCGCAAGAAAATGCGCTCCCAAGGAGCTCAGTTGGGCAGGCACCCACCTGGCATTCAGGAGGTTGTGCGTTTTTTTGGTGCCCCGTGATCGCCTGTGGCGGCACGCTTAGTGCGCTAACCAGCTGTGATAGTCCGTGTGATACCCCTGATCGGTATTACAGTAGTAGGGTCTTCTTTGGGCAACACGGGTGTGGGTGTGGGTGTGAGTGTGAGAGTGTGAGTGTGAGTGGGTTACGTGTGTGTGTGGGAGAGTGTTGACCTTAGACACCGGTGCTATTCGATGGGGGTTGGGGGAAGATGAAAAAGGGAGGCGGAGGTACTGGCCAAAAAAAAAAAAAAAAGAAGTTTCGTCCTTGTGTTAGCCCCCCCCCCCTTCCCCCACTGGCGGCCCCAACCCTGCACCACCCTAAACCACAGTGGGCAAGGGGCAACATGCATTCCCCCTTCATCTCGAGGTAGCTGTGCTTGCTGTGGTTCCCTTTAGAGACTTAGGAGTAGTGGTAGGTAGTAGAAGGTGAATTGAAAAAAGAAATAAAAAGAAATAAAAAGAAATAAAAAGAAATAAAAAGAAAAAAAGAAAAAAGGAGAAAAAAAAAGAAATAAAAAGAAAAAAAAAGAAAAAAGGAGAAAAAAAAGAAATAAAAAGAAATAAAAAGAAATAAAAAGAAAAAGGAGAAATAAAAAGAAATTAAAAGAAAAAGGAGGAAAAAAAGAAATAAAAAGAAATAAAAAGAAATAAAAAGAGGAAAAAGGACGAAAAAAAAACCCCTCGTTTCTACAGTTCATGGAAGTCGATTCTGCGTTGAGCGCCGAACGAAAGTTACTGTTCTTTCAAAGAAGATTATTAGCATGGCCCCTGCGCCCCCCCCCGAAAAGAAGCGAAGGTAAAAAAGGGGGGGGAAAAAAAGGAAAAAAGCGATAAAAGAAGGAAAGAAAAAAGAAAAAGAAAAAGAAGAAAAATTATCATTCTAAATTGCAGTACGGCTATCATCAAGGATAGCAAAATTCTCCTCCTTTCACCCCCTTTCTCCCTCCCCACGCCATCCGCCAGCTTCCCCCTTCCTCCAACTTGCCCCCTCTCCCCCCTTCCCCCCTTCCCCCTTCCCCCTTCCCCCTTCCCCCCCTCTTCCTCCGTTCAAAAGGACGACGTCATTATGAAATTGGTCATAATTGGCGAGGATTTTTTTTAGAAAACAAAAAAAAAACAAAAAGGAAAAAAGTCGTTGAATGTTTGTAGTACTGTATTTTGCTTGCGCAAGACGACGACGATGATGATGATGATGGTGACGATTGGTACAAATCATCATTTTCATAATTGCACTCGTCACAAACTGATAATAGCGGTGATCATGATGATTTGACTGATTGATTGATTGATTGATTGATTCGTTGATGGTTGATTGATTGGTTGATCGATTGATTGGTTGATTGGTTGATTGGTTGGTTGATGGTTGATTGATTGATTGGTTGATTGATTGATTGATTGGTTGATTGATTGATTGGTTGATGGCTGATTGATTGATTGGTTGATGGTTGATTGATTGATGATGTTGATGGTTGATTGTGTGATTGGTTGATGGTTGATTGAGTGATGATGTTGATAACGAGAGTGATTGCGCGTATGACTGCAGGGTTTGGTGTATATTTGAAACAAATGCCTTTTTTTCGTTTCTTTGTTTTTTTAATTTCTCTTTAGGGCGGCGGCGTCTAGATATATCGCCGAACTGACCGGGTCCGGGTTGCTTTATTTTTATTTGTTTATTTATTTATGACCATTCCCAAAAGTGGGAGGGGAGTACTCTCCCCTCTTCCCCCCCCCTTCCCCCCCCCCTCCCCCCCCCACACACGAGCAGGCCCACCTATACGAGGGTGAGTTTCTTCGGTCTGTTGCACCCTGTTTTTTTTTTTTTGGAGTAATTCGCTTCCCGGTACAGATCATGAACCTGGCCGTCCCAACGGCTTTACCGCCAGATGCATCTTTTTTCTTTTTCCCGCCCAGATGCACTCTGCCAGGGGCATTTGCGCAATAAGCGGCCCAGTTCATACGGAGGTGTACCGCCAAGCATCCCCAATGATTTTACTCTTTTTTTCTCTCTCTCTCTCTCTCTCTCCCTGACGACGATGATGACGATGCCCACTGATTTTTAATGATAGCGATGGACGATGAGAATGATGATGACGACGACGGAGATGATGATGACGATGACGATGATGATGATGATGATGATGATGTTAATGACATGGATGCTGCTGCTGGTGATGATGACAATGATTATGATGACGATGATGACGATGATGATGATGATGACGGTGACGATGATGATGATGTTCATGACATGGATGCTGTTGCTGGTGATGATGATGATGGTAATGGTGATGGTGATGGCATACATGATGATGCTGATGATGCTGATGATGCTAATCATGGTGATCATGATCGGTGATGGTGATGACGTTGATAGTTTGCGCGGCATCCTTGTGCAAGTGGCTGTGTGAATTACTGTGCGGGTAATGGTGCTACTGCTTGGGATGATGGTTATGGTGATGATGATGACGACGTGTATGATGATGTTGATGACGTCGATGATTATGATGATGGTGATGATGTCGTCGATGATTATGATGATGATGCTGATGATGTCGTCGATGATTATGATGCTGCCGCTGCTGCTGCTGCTGATGATGATGATGATGACGGCGTGGATGATGATGAGGATGATGATGATGATGATGATGAGGAGGAGGAGTATGAGGAGGTCGAGGTGGAGGTGGAGGTGGAAAAGAGTGACGATGACGATGATGATTGCGTGCAGTCGTTGTATAGTCAAACAAGAAATGGCGTTGTGGGTGTTTTCCAGCAAGAAAAAAAAGAAACGAAAAAAGGATGGATGGGAATCATTCATTCATCACAATCTTTTGCCTTGGGGTTGTCTACGCAATTAATTAATTTTTAGTTAATGAATTATGTCATTATGTAGGCAAGTACGTGAAGTAACTAATAGTCATCAAATAAATTAGTTGATGACGGTTAAAGAATTAAATTGCCAAAAAATGTTAAAAAATACTCTAGTGAATGAATTGTGGTTAGTTCAGCGAGGTTAAAAAAAATGGTGATGGTTAATTATGTAGGCGAATGATGGTTAATTAAGTTTAATGATTATGGTTACGGTAATTAGTCAGAATGGTGGTGGGGAGATAAATTAGGTTAATGACTTAAATAATGGTTAAATTTAAATTTAAATTAGTTAATGATGTTAAATAACGTAAATTTAAACTAGTTAACGATGTTAAATAACTCAATTTTAAATTAGTTAATGATGTTAAATAACTTAAATTTAAATTAGTTAATGGTTTGTTAAGAGAGGTTAATGAAGGCTATAGAGTAACTTAGTTAATGATGGTGAGTTAAAACCAGGTTAACACTAGTTATAGTAAAATTTTAGTTAATGATGGTTAGTTAAATTATTAGTTAATGATGGATGAAGAAGTATGCGGGGTGGGGGGGTTGGGGGTGGGCATTTGGGAGGGGAAGAACAAAGAAGAGGGGCAGAAATGCAAAATGCCATGGTTGCCCGCTTCTTTGATCATATCAAAGGACAGAACGTGACATCATCAAATCAAGGACAAAGCAGAGATCATACAGGAGTTTTTTTTTTTTTACCGGTTTCTCTCTTCCTCCTCTAGGCCTTCCTCGGTTCACCCTGCTCTCGGAATTTTAAAAAAGCAATAGCAATGTTTATCGCCAAAGAACGTGGCTAGATTCATTCATTTGGGGAGTGCTGGAACCAGGGGTTCTTAATCATCCCCTGGAAAACGCTGCCTTTTTTTTCTCCCGTCCTTATCCCCTCCACTTACACCACCTCCTCTCTCTCTCTCCTTCTCTCTCTCTCTCTCTTTTCTCTCTCTCTCCTCCTCTCTCTCTTTCTCCTCCTCTTGTACATTTTGTTTCTCTGCTATTAAAGCACAAGCACGGTGGAGCCTAACTTGCCAAACCTAATGTTATTGCGGCCGAACCTTATTTGAACCTGTCCCCGCTACCGTCTTCCCCCGAACACAACGCATCCTCATTATGACTGTATCCGACCGGAAAGACGGCTTGTATACATTCAGAATCAGGGTTTGTTATGTTCGGGGGAAGACGGTAGGCCGATACATCGAAAACGCCGGCACTTTGCGCCTTCGCGCTCTGATTCACAGTGTGACAATATATGCGGCCGCAAATTACTATCCCCTTCCACCCCTCTCCCCTCTCCTCCTCCCGTTGCCCCCCTTCCCCCCCCTTTCCCTCCCTCCCTCCCTCCCCCCTCCTCGTACTGTGGTTTACAGTTTTGAGTTTTTTGACCAACTCTCTTCACGAGTACGTTGCCGTCATCTGCAGACCTATGACAGCCTCAGGTTAGCATCTAGGTCTGCAGATACGACAGCCTCCCTCCCCCCTCCTGCTTCGGTATAAGCACAGTGGACGGTGAGGATCGAAGCTCGTGCAGCCAGGACAGTGATGATTGGGCGGACGGTGATTACGAACTACCGTACCCCGAATAGAACGCATGGTGACTATCGCTGTATCAATAAGTTGGCCCACATTCAGCGCTGCTGATGATGATCGATCGGACGGACGTAGTCGATCGATCGGACGAACGTTGATGATCCATCTGACGGTGATGATCGATCAGACGGATGGTCATGACCAATCCGAAGGTGATGATTGATAGGACGATGATGACCGGACTGGTGATGATAGACCGGACGTGTGCTGATCGATTGATCAAGACGGTGATGATCGGTCGATCGGACGGTGATGATTGGACGGACGGTGGTCGATCGGGCGGTGACGATTGGACGGACGGTGATCGGTCAGCACCGTCTGATCGATCATCACCATCGGATGGGGGATGGTTGTGATGGATCGGACGGACGATGACCACCGGACGGTGCTGATCGATCGGACGGTGATGAGCGGACGGTGATAATTGAACGGTCGGCGATGATTGGGCGGACTGTGATCGATTGGACGGTATTATCGATCAGATGGTATGATCGATCGATCAGATGGTATGATCGATCGATCAGACGGACGGTTGTGATGGGTCGGACGGTAATGATTGGCCGATCGCTCACAACCATCCGTCTGATCTGCTCGATCATCGGCCGTCCAAACTTCACCGTTCGACTGATCACCGTCCGTCCGATCGTCCAATCATCACCGTCCGATAGATCGAAATTCATCACCATCCGGCCATCACTCGTCCGTCCAATCATCGCCGGCTGGACGGTGATGATCGATCGGACGGTACCGTTCCGATCAATCGATCTGACGGTAGTCTTCATTACTTACTCCCTTTTATAATTGCAGGTGCTAGTATTCTTCATATTGCTGCTCTACATCACCATGGTTATAATTATCCATTGGGCATAAGCTCTTCTGTAGACAAAATAACTTTTTATTCCTATTTTTAGGGTGCGCCGTCTCACAACCAATTTCAATGGGCTTTCAATTCAATCAGAGCCTGGTACCTTTCATTGTGTGTAATGGTATATCGAGGGATCCCCTGAGGCCGAAGGTCCTCCAGTGGAGCCGTAAATCATGGAACTCTGTATACGAAGATCATCTGGCGTCAATCGGACGGTTATGACCCGATGGACGGTGATGACACCGTCTTCACCCGAATACAACGCCCGGTCATTATATCCGTATCTGGACTGAAAATTGCCCCAAGTACAGTTATAATGAATGGGCGTTCTATTCGGGTGAAGACGGGGGGTTGAGAGATCAGGGTGCTGCGGCTGTGGTGGCGGCGGCGGCTGTGGCTGCAGCTGGGGCTGGTGGTGCTGCACTGCTGGTTTCCCCCTCTGTAGCCGTCCTCTCTTGATCCCCCATCTGTCCTGCAAATAGAATGCCACGTGGATAGTTTTGAAAGTCTTGTTGAAAGTTGTTGCTTCTTTATCCTGCCTGATGAGTTGTATGGGAACAGGAGTGGCCCCTGAAATGGAAAGCCTTCGGTTCCTTAGGTCGATCTAGTGCTTGCTTTCCTATCCCACGCGAGTGCGAGAAGGGCCTCTACTCTTATATCGGACAGAACCTGGAGGGGAGGAAAAACCTATTAGTTCCCCCTATAGATACAGATAGAGAAGAGGCGAAAAAAGGCGGAAAAGGAAACAAACCCAAGAGAATATATATATAAATGTATACATAATGTATTGTCAAACAAAACTGCCCGGTAAACAGTAGGCAGAAAGGGAGAAGAGGACAACTAACGAGGCGCTGTAACGGACTGTTCCGTCGGAGTTTCACCGACTCATATATATATATATATTGTCACATGATATCAGATCGCCATATATATAAACACACACACACACACACACACACACACACACACACAGAGAGAGAGAGAGACACACCTGTCTCTTATACACATCTAGATGTGTATAAGAGACAGGTGTGTGTGTGTGTGTGTGTGTGTGTGTGTGTGTGTGTGTGTGTGTGTGTGTGTGTGTGTGTGTGTGTGAGAGAGAGAGAGAGAGAGAGAGAGAGAGAGAGAGAGAGAGAGAGAGAGAGAGAGAGAGAGAGAGAGAGAGAGTAGGGGACTCGGTGTTGAGAACAGTAGCTGGGAATATTTGAAGTCGAGATGAAAAGGACCCTTGACTCGGGTTGATGTTGTTTAGCTGGAACTGGTTCTAAGCCTCTAACCCTGTCCCCTCTGTTAAAGGACCACTACCTTTCTGACTGTGACGCGAAGTGGCAAGTTGAGCCTCATCCGAAAAAATCGCTGCCGGGAGGCCGTCGATAACTTTCATTGGAGGCCCACGGCATCCAAATTTGAATTCGAGGCCAGCGGCCGTATGTATGAGAAAGGTAGTGGTGGTTTAAGGTAACTTTCAACCAGCCATAGACCCTAAACCCTAAACCCTTAATCTTAACTGTACTCGGCCTGATCCTCGCACCCTAAACCCTAGCTTGTTATTATGTAATTCCGATTTAATCATTTGATTTCCCATAACCCCGAAACCCTTAACCTCATTTCTTACTCTGACTCAACCCTAATACGGAGATGAAAACTCCCTCTTATCTTGACACAGATTCAAATGAAACGGATCTTTTGGGGATTGGGATCTGGAGCCGGGTGCAGATCGGGATCGTGATTGGGATCTCTTGCGGCATCGATCCGTTGTGCTCTGTCTCTCTATGCCGGTGCTGGCAATCTTGCTTTGCTCATAACATTTTTTTTTCGCCTCTTTTGCTCATCGAAAGATAAAACGGTTAATTAATGTGATGAGAGCTCTCTCCTCTGCTACCAGTTGTCGAGCTCTAGCCAGTGTTGCCGCGCCTGCTAAGTCCCAGCCCATGCCATGCATGGAAAGGCTTCATGCCGACTCTGCAGGCGTGGTTCAGCTATGGTGCACACTCTGTCCACCTCTTTCTTCTCCTTCTCTCTTTCTGCTTCATAGCTCCTTGGTCTCTTTTCTTTTTTTTTTTGTTTTTTTTTTTCCCTTGGTTCTCATGGAATTCCGTACTTTATATATTCTTATAAGCTGATTGGCATGATGTCGAAGTTTCCAGCTTGGTCGAGTTGGCCCAGTATCGCTACCAGTCCAGGTACCAGGATCAGTACCAGCCTATTACCAGGGTGGGTACCAGGATCGACACCAGGGTGGGTACCAGGATCGACTCCAGGGTGGGTACCAGGATCGACACCAGGGTGGGGACCAGGATCGCTACCGTAGTTTCATGGATGTTCTTTTCCCTGGCTGCTGTTGGGTGAGGGGGTGGCACCCTGTGAATGCGAATCTGTCTCTCACTGCTTTCTGATTGCTGCTCGAAAAATTGGCACCAGTGTTGGTACCGGGACTGGTACTGGGGTTGGTATCAGGGTTGGTACCGCAATTTCAAGGATGCTCAATGCTTGGCTGCTGCTGGGTGAGGAGGTGGCCTTCTGCGAATGCAATTCTGTCTCTCACTGCTTTCTGCGATGGATGCTCGGAAGATTGGGACCACCATCGGTACCAGTCCCGGTACCAGGATCTGTTCCGCTGTCCGTACCAGGGTTGGTACCATAATTTCATGGATGTTCAGTCCTTGGATGCTGTTGGGTAAGGGGATGACACTCTGCAGATGTGCTTATGTCTGTCACTGCATTCTGTGATGGCTGCTCGAAAAACTGTGAATCAATTCATCCTCCCCTGCAATGCATGAGAGGTTGAATTCCCCAAAGATGCATATTTTTTTCTTTTCTTTTTCTTGTCGACTTAGGGCATGTGCACACCAGGAATTTTTTGTCAGCTGAGCTCTGGACGCGATTGCAGTCAGATGCATCGAGGTCTGGCCGTAATTGCAGTCAGATACGTTTAGGAAAGTGCTACCTAGTGGTGAGTACGCCCTTAGAGATGGGGCATTGTGTCTTCAGAAACAGCGTCAAACTTCAAACTTCAAACTTCAAAAGGTTTCTGAAGTCCTGATGTTGACGAGCGAATTGTTTTGGTGCAATGGCTGTGTGATGACGTGCTTTACGATTTTAAATTACGATTTTAAATTACGATTTTAAATTACGATTTTAAATTACGATTTTAAATTACGATTTTAAAATTTTAATCCACCTCTGAGTATGACAGTGGCCCTTTTTTTATTTTTTATTTTTTATTTTTAAATGGCTCAGTTCTGTCGAGGGATAGATGCTGCCTTTGGATGGACCATGCTGCTCTGATTTCACTAATATTTCTCAACACTGCGGTGGCTGCGATTCTGAACTTGCCAGGTTGTAGATTCTCTTTCTTTTGCACTGTCTTGTTCTGTTGTGTCTGTGTTATTGTCATTTACTATGGTTTTGTTGCATTGTGTCACAATTTGTGTGAGAATTTTGGGTGTTTTTTGTTTCTCTTTCTTTTGTTGCGTTTTCTTTTTTTTTCCAAAATTTTTGTTATGTCCAATTTTGCGATGCTTACATTATGCGTTGGTCTATGCCATGTGGCCTGGTGCTGTATCATGTTCCAAACGTCTATTTCAGGTGCACGCTGTCGCATGGAATTGCAATGGGACAAAGTTGGCATCGGGATCTGTTGATCAGACAGGACGGGTCTGGATGTTTGACAATCGAGGACCGGTAAGTTTGGGTTGAATTCAACAGTCAGTCAAGCTTGTGCCTCCTGATGTCCAGAGAGCAGCCTTGCTGCTGTGTTGGATGATCATCGCACTCGAAACGACACTTCAGTAATCCATACTAACAATATGATGTGGGTGTTGGGAATTCTCCCTCTCTCTCTCTCTCCTCCCCCATTGGAATTCTCCCTCTCTCTCTTTCTCTCTCCTCCCCTCCCATCCGCCCCCTGAGGTGGTCGTTTTCCAGTTATCCATTCACGTCTGTATTTATTTTATTCCTCTTGCAGATGTGATGCAGCACAGTGTGTCGGATTATGTGTTGCTTGGAGTCACAGTGTCTGTTTACTTATGCATTGATGGCTGGTGCTGTCTGTTCTCGAATAACAAGCGGGGAGAGGGGAAAGGTTCAACTGATCAGTTCACTACCTTGGCAATGTGTGTGTGTGTGTGTGTGTGTGTGTGTGTGTGTGTGTGTGTGTGTGTGTGTGTGTGTGTGTGTGTGTGTGTGTGTGCAGATGAAGGGAAAAGATATTGAGCTGAAGGGGCACACTGACAGTGTGGATTACGTGACATGGGATCCAACGCATCCAGACCTTTTAGCAACAGCATCAGCAGACAAGACCGCAAGGCTCTGGGACACGCGAAGTAAGAATTTTGGTCGACATACCACCACATCAGTCTGTCAAATCCCCTCGTGGTCCCCCCGTTTCTTGTCCTTCTCTCCCTCGCTGTCCATGGCTCACCTGACAGTTCTCTGTGACGGTATATATCGTCAAACAGAACTGCCCGCTAAACCGAGCACAACAAACGTCGGGCTGTGACAGACAGTTTTGTCAGAGTTTTGACTGACTCATAAGTCATATATATTATATATACGTACATATATTGTACTTATAGTCTTATAGCAGTTTCTTTTTGTCCAGACTTTCTGGACCAATGAATATGATCTGTCACATGAAGGAGTTTGTACTCTAACAAGTTTAATTACAGGTGCTATCTTGGCCAATAGGCCCAATAGTACGAATACCGAAAAGACACAAATTTCTAAATCATAGTATTTCATACACTTTGGTTTTGAAAAACATATAGGCAATGGAAGATTGTTTTGTTTATGAAGTATTGCTTAATTATATGGACCTCCTCCTCAAAAAATCCATTTGTGTATATTTAGCATATCTGTGTTTCCATTCATGACATCAAGACCGTGTATCATGACTTTGATAAAATCAGCACGCTCGCTGGAGGCACAACGTGCTAAAAAGCGCCACGCCTGCCTATGCCAGTATACATATTGTCAAACAGAACTGCCTGGTAAACTGTAGGCAGAGAGGGAGAAGAGGACAACAAACAAGGGGCTGTGACAGACTGTATATATCGTCAAATATATATACATATATGTACTCTGCGACTACATATATAGTCACGTTTATATATAATCATAGAGACCTGCCCGGTGAGGAAAGGACAAGGAGGGGCTGTGACAGGCTGTTGCATCCTAGTTTCACCGACTTGTCAGGAGGCTGAACCCTCTATGACCTGCAGAGTCTCTGATGTGATGATGATACTGTAAGTCGCACATAGTCCACCTTAACCGTGGTTGTGGTTGATCATCAACGACTGCCGCACAGCAGATGTTGTGAGGTGGGCACCAACCACTGCCCTCAAGCGTACCTGTGGTGAAAATCAAAGCAGACTGCTACTCACCGACACCGGATGGAAGGCCCTGTGCCTGTAGTTTTGGCCTATGGTACCTGCCCCCCACCTCTACGGCAGGCCATACGGGAGCTGTAGGCAGGCCACGCAGCCGTATGGAAACTCAAGCAGGGGTAATTGGCCAGTAGATGGGCCCCCGACTTGAGCTTGAAGGGGTCAAGGGGGGGCAATGCATTACCCCCTACCCACCAACCAGTCTGCTAGGATTCACACACAGTACTCTCTCAGGGTCGTTGTTCCAAAAAGATGGCCAGTGGCCACTTAATACTCTCTCACAGGTCTCGCTCACTTTGGGCGAGTTGGTGTCTCCCAAGACATCGACTAAATGGAGTCGTGTTTGGTGAATGTGAAAACATACCTTCATACTTGTTTGGCATATGTGAAAACACACTGTCATACTCGCTCACTTTGGGGGAGTTGGTGTTTCTGAAAAGACATCGATCAAATGGAGTTGTGTTTGGTGAATGTGAAAACATACCTTCATACTTGTTTGTGTATGTGAAAACACACCGTCATACGTCTCTGACTCTCTGCATCACTCAATGTTTGTTGCTTGTGTCTTGTGTCACCTCATCTTGAAGCGGCGAAGTCCCAGGCTGTGGAACTAAGCGGTGAGAACATAAACATAGCTTTCAAGCCTGATGGGAGACATATTGCTGTTGGGAATAGGGTAGGTAACATTCTGCCAGCTTTATTCGCCTCGCCTCTTTTTTCTTTTTTCTTTTTTTTTTGGTGAAAGGGCAATGGTCTTGAGATATCGTCATCGAACTGAGCGGCCCTATGTAATTCAGAAGAATCAGAACTATACTATTTTACTCCCAGTGGAGTTCGAACGCAGGTCTGTGTTTTAATAGTTTAGGGGTGTACCAACTGAGCTAGGCCAGTTGGTTATTCTTCTCTCTCCTATTTTTTTCCTTTGACCGGGTGCCTGGGCACTCAACTTGTGCCCCGGATACAGGCCCGGGTGTCCCGACCGGGGATGAACCTCAGGCAGCCCCAGTGTAAAAAAAAAAAGAACAAAAAAAAATTCCGGAAAAAAAAAAGTTGCATATGGGCCGCACGGCAGGACGAGCCAAGTAGCCTAGCCCTGAAACTCTTTCTTTAAGGAATTTTCTTCTTCTTCTTCTTCTTCTTCTTCTTCTTCTTCTTCTTCTTCTTTAATTACTACGTATTTCCCCACTACGATTGAAAGCGCAAATGTCAGAAAATGTTGATCGTGGCTGTTAGCGGTCCTAGTGGGCAGACGCTCTCAATTGGCGGTCGATCTGAAGTTCTTACGATTGCCCGCCAACCGGACTGTTGGTTGATGGAAAAATTGATGGGGTTGCATTTTGGGGTTCAGGAAACTGAGATCTCCACAACTATGTAAACTGCAAATGTAATAACAGTTCAACTATCAGGCCTGTCCGCGGTCCTAATGGGCCGATGACCGGGATTGGCCTTCAGTAGTTTAAGAATGGTTGATTATCTGGCCCTGCCGGGTCAGTGGTCCCGATCGGCCGATCTGAGTCAATTCCTGGAACCCTCCAAAATTGCGGGCGAATTAAAAAAACATATCGGTCTTTGTTTTTCCGTACCTGAGAGCCTGAAAAGAGAAGATATTCTGAAAAGCACTCACTCCATATGTCTCTCCGTCTGTCTCTCCGTCCTTCCTCTCCTTCTCCCTCTCCTTCTCCCTCTCCTTCTCCCTCTCCTTTTCCCTCCTCTGTCCCTCTTCTCTCCCTCTTCTCTCCCTCTTCTCTCCTTATTCTCTCCCTCTCCTTCTCCTTCTCCTCCTCCCTCCTTTGTCCCTCCTCTCCCCCCTCTCTCCCTCTTCTCTCCGTGGCTCCTCTCCTTCTGCCTCTTCTCTCCCTCTCCTTCTCCCTGTTCTCTCCATTCCCTTCTCCCTTTTCCCTCCCTCTTCTCTTCCCCTTCTCTCCCTCCTCTCCTCTTCTCTCCCTCTTCACTCCCCCTGCTCTCCCTCTTCTTTCCTTCTTCTCTCGCTTTTCCCTCCCTCTTCTCTCCCTCTTCTCTCCCTCTCCTCTCCGTGTCCTCTCCCTCTTCTCCCCCCGTCTCCTCTCTGTGCTTCTGTTCATGTCACTCTAGGAATAAACTGGGGAATGTGGGACATGTGCCACTCATGTTGGTTGAGTCCACACCTTAGCTCTTTTGTGTATGGAATACTATGGACTCTACATATGCAGGTGGCTTGAAGTCCTGCAGTGTGGTGTGCTTTCGGACATTTGTTAAAATTGGGACAATGATGAGAAGATCACTTGGCATGGCCCATGACTGAGGATGACTCACACAGATGGAGAGAGAGTCCAGGTTCTTTTAAAAAGGGGAAAACAAGAGAAAGGCTGGAAAAGCCCAGCGATGTTGAGATAACATTGGAGGATGTGCTATGTTATGTAAAGGGTAGTTTGTGGGGAGAAGCCAGTAAGGTGGAGTTGTTGGAATGTATGTTGGAATATAAGCTGGACTATATATAGCTTAGCTTGGATTATATGTAAAGTTGAAAATATAAGTTGGAAATAGAGAGGATAGAGAATTACCTGGGGTTTCGCTCGGTTGGTACACCCAATGAACTATTGAAATACAGACCATAGTTCGATTCCAGGTGCAATCAGATGATCAAAATAAAATCATTCTGAATTACCTGCAGCCGGTCAGTTCCATGATGATATCTCAAGGCCGTCCCCCTGTTAAAAAAGAAAAGAAAAGGAAATCTGTTTCAGGTTTGAGGCATAAATTTGGTGTTGTCTTTTCGAAACACACCTTCCCCCGACCGAGATCACACGAACATACCCTCCTTTCCCTGACCTCTCTCACATGAACATACCCTTCTCTCTTAATCTCTCCTGTGAAGTGCGGCCGGCCTTTGGCAGGCGAAGTGCTTTTATCGACTCAGCCCTTGTTTACGTTCCTCCCCTTCTTCTCCCCCCCTCCTCCCCCCCTCCTCCCCCCCTGCTCCGTGGGCTGTTCGCCACCCTCCTCCCCTGTTTTGAAGAAGAGCGAGGAATCGTGAAGACCAGGTGTGTTCTCATCATTTGAATAATTTTAATAATATAAATAATTTAAATAATTCAAATTCTGAAAGAGAATTTGCCCTGGTTATCTTACCGGGCCCATGTGGCTTACCTTATCTGGTAGCCACATATAACCAGCCTTTTTTTTTCTGTTTGGTTAAAAACAGGTTCCCACATGCAATTAACTGCTATGGAACAGATCACAAGTTTGAATCCTCGTGGTCTCAGATCCATACATTATGTCAGGGGCTGTCCTCTTTTCTTCAAAAAGAAAAAGGCAAAACAATTGCCCTGCCCTGTTTATTATTAAACAGTGAAAAAATTTCATCTATGTGCGCAGGACGACGTCTTGAGCATTGTTGATGCCCGCAAGTTTCAAGCCATCCAGTCGAAGAAATTTGCGTTCGAGGTATGATGCTCTGCTATGCTACGGTTCTTCTGCTGTATTCACAGAGCTGTTCTTTTGCCGCTGCATGCTTGCCGTCTGTTTCTTTCGTTTGTCCGTGAATGCTGTTGTGATGGCTAATAATAAGTGCAGTGGATTTTGGGTGCTGATGATTCAAAAAAAAAAAAGAAAAAGGAAAAAAAAACGAGTAAGAAAATAAAAGAAACCTTGCGGGGGTGACACTGTGGATGTGTAATGCTGACTGTGATCAGATGCACGGCGCCGATTCTTGATTGGATGCATGTAACTCGATCGTCGTGTGAGTTACCCGCATCCAATGAACTTCACATTTTTCTGAGCTATTCGTCGGCGCAAGTCAATTACTCTGTATGTTTCAGATGGATGTAAATCACGCAACGACTCTTGATCGGATGCATGTAACTCACATGACGATTCGGTTTGGAGTTGGAGTCCAGAACCTACGAGTGATTGAGTTGAATAAACGAATAAGTTCAGCTCCGGAAAATGTGAATTTGAGTAAGTCCGATGCATGTATGCTCATGCCACGATTCTTGACCGGATGCATGTATAACTCACACGACGATGTGGTTTGGAGTGTGAGTCCAGAAGCTACAATGTATTGAGTAATCGAGTTGCATAAGCATATAGCTCAGCTCGGGAAAATGTGAGTTCGAGAAGTCCGAAAGGCCAAAATTTCGGAGTTCATAACCTCTGTCCGTCCTGATGGGCACTATTTCCGATACGTTTTTCCAGTGTCCCATGTAGAAATTGAGGAGGGGCTCCCAAAAATCCGAAAGTCCAAAAAATGCGCAGAAGTCCAAAAGGTCAATCTCCAGAAGTTTCAAGTCTAAAAGACTAGAAGGCAAGATGTCCAAATGTTTGAATTTTAAAAATCTCAAAATCCGAATTTCTCTCCAGCGATAAAAAGTCCAAACGTTTAAAATTTGAGAATGTTAAACTCCAGACATTCAATGTCTAAAAGTCAAAGGTCCAAACTTTGGAAGTCTGAAAAGTCAAAGTACAGAAGTTCAAACTTTGGAGGGGTTCAACCTTTAAACTCTACATCACCAGCTGATTAAAAAAAAAATAATAAAATCCGTGCAATATAATGAGAAGTGAGCGCAAAAAAAAAGCCCAAGATGGTGAACTCGTGTTTTTAACTTTTTGTGCACTGCTGCCGACCCCCTGCTGGCCCCCTGCATCGCGCCGGAGGACTGGTGGTCCAAAGGGGTGTGCCTTAGTTTGCTTTTTTTTTTTTTTTGTCCTTGGATTCACAAAGGAATTCTGAGGTGACAATCAGCCAAAAGCTGTTTGCAACTTTGCATTGCAGTTCTGCACGTCATAAAAAGAATTCCCCCCCCCCTCCCCCCCAAGAATCTTTCATTTTTTTTTTTTTTTCGATTTTGTTTTTCCCCTGGGGCTGCCTTCGACCTGGTTGGGCCCTTGCTTGGGTGCCCGGATGTCACTATCGATAATGGAATCAAATAAGTTGAATTGAATTTGCATTTTTGTAGACATTATTTATTTCACAAATTCACAGAATTTAAGGAGTACATTTCGTGTTGACAAAATTACTATTATTAATCTCAACGGCTGGCCTTTTTTTGTCCAAAATTTTGGGGATGATTAATTATTAATAATTCACATTTGAATTATGTTTAATCTTTTTTTCTGCAGGTCAATGAGATATCCTGGAACAGAACGGGGGATCTTTTCTTTATGACCACTGGGCAAGGTACAGTATGTTGAAATTTCGGGAAAAAAATAAAAATTACAAATTTAGAACTAAAATAAACGAAGCTTAAGTTTATTTATGTTGTGTGTTTCCCCCTTCATTTGAATCTAAAATGCTTTTTTTTTTTTTTTTTAATAAACTGGCAGTGCATGTATTTTTCTCGGATTTTCTCCTCTTACGATAGTCAAAATAAAGTTTTGGTCGTTTTAATCTTCCTCATGTGAAAGTGAAAGTTCAAAGCTACAGTGAAACTCAGACTGCCTTCTTTTGTTTTTTTTGTGTATTCCTGCATGGGGCCATGAGCAGATAATTAAGAATTAAAAAAAAAAAAAAAAACTTACAAACCACCACCACCTCCGAGCCTGTTTTTGCCGACCCTGATTTTCTCTGCGCACCGAGTTTTGCCGAGCCTGGGTTCCGTTTTGTTTCTTTTCTGGTACTCTCCTGAAAAAAGAAGAAGGAAAAAAAAAGCACGGCCAGACTTTCAAAAAACGACACGCTCGCAGCCAAAAAAAAAAAAAAAAAACACCTCTTTGGATGTGATACCTGGTAGATACCTAGCCCAAAGTCGTTGTGTGAGTATGCCCCCAGTGAGGGCGTTACGACAAGGGGTGTCAGGACCGCGAAAGAAGGAAGAGGGGAAAAAAAAATATTGAAACTGAACTTAGGGCAGGAAAGCGGGTTCATACATTCTGCAAAGTAATAGTGTGGGCATGCCCTCCTCCTCAAAGTTTCAGCAGCCCGTGATACCTGGTAGATAACCTTTTTATGTCTCATGCATTTCATTTTTGTCGTCATGGGAAACTTGAGTGGTTTATCTTTTTCATTCATTTTTCGGAATTTTCCACATATTCATAACTTTTCCACATATTCATTTCTCCACTTTTGAAGCTCGTATCTGTTTGGATTTTTTTTATTAATATATTTTGCTCTCTCGTCTCGCGTAAATGTTTGTCGAAGGGTGTCCCTTAATATTCTGCTGGATGCTCTACAGAACAAGGTTGGGTAGGATTTATTTATTCAATTATTTTGGTTACTTTGTTAAATTGTTATGGCGCTTGCGGAATGTTAGGCAGACTATTACGCAGTGACCTCTTTGGCAGACTCTTAGGGAGACTGTTTGTTCGGTAGACGGTTCGTCAGACGACGAGACAGTCAACTGTTAGGGAGATTAGGTGAATTGTTTGGTAAAGGGTGGCTGTGCCTGCTGAAAAAGGTCTCAATGGGTGTCAGTGTCGAGTGTGTGTATCCTTGCTGCGACTGTGCTGCGGTGGGCTGGCTGCCACGACCGGTATGGCTTCAGTTTCGAACGCCGGGTCACAATTGCAGTGGAAAAGGAATCCGACGGTTATGAGCGAGATCACCGGTTCGATTCCGTGTGGCTACGGATTGATCCTGGCGATATACTGAAAGACTGTTTCCAACGGTTATGGACGAGATCACTGGTTCGATTCCGTGTGGTTACGGATTGATCCTGGCAATATACTGAAAGACTGTTTGTTCGGTAAACTGTTAGACAGACGATGAGACAGTGGACTATTAGGTAGATTAGGTAGACTGTTAGGCATACTGTTAGGCAGACTGTTAGGCACTGTTAGGCACTGTTAGGCAGACTGTTAGTCAGACGATGAGACTGTGAACTGTTAGGAAGATTAGGTAGACTGTTAGGCAAGGTGTGGCTTTGCCTGGGGAAAAAGGTCTTGATGGCTGTCAGTGTTGTTGAGTGTGTGTACCCTCGGTGCAACCGCGCTGAGGTGGGGTGGATGGCACAACTGGTATGGCTTCTATATTCTATGTTCTTTTGTTTTAGAACCGTGCGGGTCCCCGGGCGGCACGGTTAGGGGAAGGTCGCCCGGGAGCCCTCCCGGGCGGTCCCAGCGCATAATATTTAAAAAATAGAAAAGAAAAAAATCCGAATGTTTAAGAAATCGCAAATGTTTAAGGAATCCCAAATGTTTGAGAGAGAGCAAATGTTTTGGGGACATGTTAAATTTTGGAATGATGCATAGGAGATTAGCGTGGCCCCTGTTTGCAAGGACGACAGGCAGAATTGGAGACGTACTCCAGAAAAAAAAGACAAAGGAAAACAAAAGAGAGAAAGTGTTTGAAGTTAGAACTTTGAAGACGAAACCTCAGGGTACTTATCTTTTTTTGCTTTTAAGTTTTAAATGGGAAGTATCAATGTTCATTTTGTGACTTGCAAGTATTGCTTGGGTTTCTTTTGTTCATTGTTTCTTGCTTCTGCTTGTATGCTTGATGACTGGCTGTGTCATCTGTGGGCAGGTACTGTGGAGGTTATGGGTTATCCATCCTTACAGACTCTTCATGTGCTCAATGCTCACACTGCGGGCTGTTATTGTATTGCGATGGACCCGAAAGGAAGGTGAGAGGCACTGCTCTGTCTTGGTGACTGACGACTGGCCTCTTCTTTGTTTCTTCCAGTTGGTGGAACTTTCTCCTTCTTGCTTGATGTCTTGTGCTTCGTTCTTCGTTCTTTGTCCTTGGCGGTACTTTCTCCTTCTTCCTTGGTGGTTCTTTCTTCTACTTCTTCCTGCTGCTTTTTCTTCCTTTTTCTTCTTCCTTGTTTTTTTCTTCGTCGTCTTCCTTCTTTTTGTGCTTCGTTCTTCGTCCTCGGCGGTACTTTGTCCTTCTTCCTCGGTTATTTCTTCTTCCTCCTCCTTTTTTGTCGTTTATCTTCTTCGTCTTTCATCTCCTTCCTCCTCGCTTCTTTCTTCCTCTTCTTCCTTCTTCTTTGTCATCCTTTTTCTTATTCTGTGGTCTCCTTCTTCCTTGGCTCTTTCTTCTTCTTCCTCCTCCTTTTTCTTCCTGTTTCTTCTTTTCTTTGTTCTCCTTCTTCCTTGGTCCATTCTTCCTTCTTTCTTTTCTTTTTTTTTCTTATTCTTTGTTCTCCTTCTTCCTCTTCCTTCGTTTTCTTCCTTTTTCTTTTCCCTTCTTCTCCTTCTTTTGTCATCCTTGGTTCTTTCTCCTCCTACCTTGGATAGTTCTACCTTTTTGTTTTTTGCCTGGGTCCTTTCTCCTCCTGCCCTTGGCTCTTCCTCCATCTTTCCGCTTGCTTGCTTTTTTCTCCTTCTTTCTTCTTCGTTGGTTCCCCTTTTTTTCCTCTGGTTCTTTTGTTTTCTTCCTTGGCGCTTCTCGTTCTTCCTTGCTCCTTTCTCTTGCCTTCTTCTTCTTTGTCGTCTTCGGTTGTTTCTCCTTCTTCCCCTTGGTTCTTTCTTCCTCTTCCTTAAAACAAGAGCCTTTCTCCTCATGTTTAGGTTGTGGGGTATTATTATTGTATGCGGTCCTCTCTTGCCCTGACTGTTGGATGCCAGAGAAGAGATGTGTGGTACCGTAGCATTCTTCGTTGTTGTTTTTTGCATGTTCGTACTGCACATTAGCAAGTTTATATTGGGGTCTAGGTTGAACAAGCTTACCCATTCGGTGCCAATTTTTTCCTTTTTTCTTGTATTTGGCCTAGAAAATCAAGGAGGCAAAAGGTGATGCCGTATTGCGTATGGCATTTGTGCGACGGTCTGGGACAGCTGAACCCTAATGTAACACTGCTAATGTGAAGTGCGAACATGCAAGACCCCCCAAAAAAACTCAAAATTTAATGTTCAAGTTCTAATTTTCTATGCAATTAAAGTATTTTGTTAATTTTAACAAAGTGGCAGTTAAAAGGGAAGAGGAGAGGAGAGGAGAGGAGAGGAGAGGAGAGGAGAGGACAGGAGAGGAGAGGACAGGAGAGGAGAGGAGAGGAGGGAAGGGGAGGGGAGGGGAGGA